CTCTTCGTAATGCAGACTAGTAAAATAAGCTGAACATGAGACAGTGCTCTTCAAGCACCAGTCAATTCAGATTAGTTGATTTGCACAGTAGTACGAGACTCATCAAGATCACCGGAAAAGATGGCGGAGTTATAATACTTTATTTGACTTAAGTGTGTGTAGAATCAACATTCCAACGAAGTCCCACCAAGCAGCATCAACGCAGGCACTCAATCCTGTGCACGAAATGTAGCAACATCTCATCTACTAGGTGATTTCTCAGCAGACATCCTTACATCATGAGCAAGACAAGCGATAGACTCATGCTACGCATTTTGGATTCAAGCAACCGCTGGACATTCCAAATAGCCGCTTCGGTATTTACAATGAACTCCTTGTAGACATCGATTGCCTCCAGCATAAAAAAATGTTTTCCGGTGACGAAGACGTTTCCTCGTCGTCCCCATCACCCTGGTGTCCTTCACAAGACACCCATGAAGACGTATCTGATTTAGAAGCAGACGTTTCCTCATTCCTCCCTACCTCCTTCTAAGCTGCAATCACCTCTGTGGCCAGACAGACAATCTATATGTCCTACCTCACGAACACGACGACGCAGCACATTGCATTCATTTCCCACATGGAGAAAAGAAGGATTTGACCGTGATATGTTGACAAATACATAGAAGCATGCAGTTCTGCAACCACATCACCAGTCCTTCGAACGTCAACACTAAATCTGCATTCAAATTGGCAATGACTTCAAACAGTAACCCAGCTGATACATTCGTGACAGCACGGTATAAGATGTCAAACACCGATCACCCACTGCTTCCATTAAAGCTTCAGGGAAGCCATAAATGTCTAATGGAACAGACCGATAGCAATGGCAAAACAGTGCCTACCGTAAATGGCTGAATCTGTCCAAGTCCCTTGATAAGGCCAGTCCCTCACCAACTACAAGTCCTGCATCATAGCCAGTACAAGAAAAGGACGACCAGTGCACCAATCTTAACCCCTCCAAGAAATTGCAAAGGATTCACGTGGCTGAACAGCAGTAAATAGGGCAGCCAAATAAACACAACGAATGGAACCAAATCCAAACCCGATTTTCTTCACAGCCATCTCACTCTGCATACAACATTAGGTTATATTAATCGAAAACGCCAGTACCACCGAAGCAAGAGTGACAATCTATGCGTGGTAGACGTGCGCTATTGCCCACCCCGTGACACTCATCAGAAGGGGGTGCCAGTGCCAAATCCACTATCACAGTTCAGATACCTACGTTCGCATCCGACACCGTTCATTGTCGTCTTTCCACTGACTCAAATGCTCCTCCAGCTGAGAGGATCGCACATCTCAACACATCACCCCGCAACATGGTTTACCGGAACAAGCAAAAACTGATATGCAACACACGCCACACATTTGTGACATGTGCACTCACATAACGAAATCTGCAATTCATCAGTGACATTAGCGGCGAGAGGTTAGGCAATATTAAGCAGTGCGTTTCGCAAACGGACAATATGGCAAACACGTCCCGCCAACAGCCACAAGATGTCACACAAACAATGGAATTCCAAAGTCTTCCCGCTGCCCACACTTCTTGCTCATTTACTAAGGCAGTAGCAAACCATATGGGTGACTGAGTAACAGACACGAGTGAAGGTCACAGGCAAATTCCATCAAAATGCACTGCATCAAATAGGCTTCCGGTTTGTTATGATGCAAATGCATCATATCATCTTGGTGAAGTGCGGTACTCTGCGTAACAGTGGTGAGCACAGGGACAGGCAGTCTGGTCTCCAACCCACTCTGCATTAAATTCGGTTAGTTAATACGACCATACTATCTGCCATAGATCAAAGTGTGAGAAGGTGTGATAGAAAATCGGCGAGGAATCGGTGAATGGCTCCTCAACTATGGGAAGTGAAGTGCACAATACATCCACAAATTTGTCAAGTAATAATAAGGCGAATGCGTCTTGTTTTTGAAACGGGAGGCACATAATGCTAAAAAGGGACGAGTGAAGTAGCCATAGCCTAAAATGGGAACATCACACGCTTCCAATATTGGCCAACCAGCCAACAACAAATTCGACAGTCGGCCTAAATTAATTACAAGTAAAGTGATCAACAAACACACCAGTCCTGATAAGGAACATATATAGAAGGCAACGCTCGACAACGCAAAGAAGTAGTAAAGTAGAAACTAATGAGTAACTTGCTTGATTTTTCATCCCCCAACATCGAGTCAGCATTGGCATCAGCCGGAATGCCAGAAACCACTTTCACGATTTGGATCCTACAAGTCCCAAGTGGGCAGTTATTTAACAACAAAACGAAAGCCAAAGATGAACGGACGCAAGCATACACACCTGCGGCGGTCAATTACGAGCACGTCAATCTTCGTACCCATATTATCCCACTCGGGTATTTGAACTAATGTTCCAACTCGATAGAGTTCGTCCAAACTGTTGACCACATCAGAAGTGCTACAATTTGTCCGTGAAAATGGACATGACTATGAAAAAACAGACTTGCAACAAACAATGAATATTAGAGACGAAAAAAGTGGCAAACAAACCCGGTCGGATTTTTGTCTAGAATTTTAGCTTGATCGAATGGGTTTCACCAATCATTGGTCCTTTATCTTCATCATTTACACAGATATGGGAAAAAGTTGAGGTAAAGTGATTGGAACGCCGAGGGCACATGGAAGGGTTTGGGCAATATTCGCAATAACTTCTGAATCTGGGGAAGCTTCATTTAATGAACGTCAACTAATGGCTATAGCTTAGTTGAGTTCAAGTTTGCACGCCTCGGAAATGAGTTTCATATTCCCTAGTGAGCTTGCTAAATTTGACAGCACTTGAATAAACATGGAGTGT